TATGTGGGCAGATTTGCAATGCTAAATCTATCCACCGGTCAAGGAAAAACAGCCCAGCACCTTACTGGACTCTTTGATATTGGAGGCAGTATGGCCTCACTTGAGTATTCTACCTGCTCTTTTATATCAGCTAACCCACAAAGCAGTGTCTTTTTAGTTGAGCCCAAATTAACAGGCTATGTTAAAAACTGTCCAGCAAGCGGAGTCACGTTCTCTATCTTTGTGGCTTCACAACCCAAATGACCACTTTCTGATACAATTCTGTGATTAATGATTTTGCCAATTAGAGACTCCAGCAATGGGAAGCAGAGTTCCCCCAGAGGCACCCTTTGGGGTTTTAGACTCGCCACCTTCTTGACATGGCTACCATGTAGCCCTTTTGAAAAGCAGCTATTAGCTTGTTACTGAGCTCTTGTCAAAACTGAATGTCATTCCCATGCACACCTTTGTTTCTATAGCCTGATAGTCCCATTCGTGGTGGGTCAACAATGTGGGAAGAGCCCAAAAAGCTTTGCTTGTCAAATATAAATAGTATATTCAAAAATACAGCTGGTCTGGCCCCAGCAGCATCTCAGCCTCACATAAAAATAGCACAAAAAGAATACCCTTTTGGGGAAACTTAATCCCCTACTCCACCGTTCAAAATGAAGCCACTGGTTCCATGGGGCCCTTGGTTCATCAAAATTCTACTACATGCCTAGGCCTGGTTCACTGATAACCACGGTTGAGCTGAAACCCAATGGTGTCCACTGGCTGCTGCAACTGTCCAGTCTCAGCACCAGGAACGCATAACTGAAAACCAACAAGATTACTTGGCACAGGGGGCAGAAGCCAAAGCCATTCTCACAGCTGTGGCCAATACTTCTCTTGATAAACTTTGTTATATTTTTACTGACTTGAGCTATTGCCAGAAGTCAATAAACTATTTGGTCTGCCACTTGGAAAACTATGGACTGGCATATTAAAGTTATCCTTCTTTGGGGCAACAAACTCTGGAAACAAATCTTAGCTGCTGATCAAATCTCTGGGTCACTCAGGGAGATGCCCACAGTAAGGACCCATCCTTTGAAAAGACCTGATAGAGCAATCAAGGACCTGATAGAGACTGCACCAGAACGACTGCCACAAATGCTATATGGATCCATTTTCCTGCTCAACATGGCCATGAATCTGCCATCACAGACTGGGCACAAAGTAAAGGACTCTATTTTTCTGCTGCAGAGGTTACCACAGCATGCCAGACTTGGGATTCGTGTCAAAAGTTGATCAGTTTTTTCCTGGCAAATTGATTACCTCAGACCATTGATCACCTCTTTGTGCTTTCAGTGGTGCCTCACCACTGTTGACACACAACACAGGTTATAGTGTTGCTGTTCCAGTCCGATGAGCTAACTCCAGCCACACCACAGTGGCTCTTGAAAAAAACTATGTTTAATATTTGTGGCTTTATGGACCACTGGCAGTCCAACAATGGTTCACTTTTTATCACAAAAGCCACCCAAAAATGGGCTGAGAGTAAAGGTGTTTGGTGGACCTTCCACACTTCTGTTGTTGAAAGGCATCACTGAACGTTGGAATGGCCTTCTCAAAAACTGACTCAAAATGATTTCTAGCTCTATCTCCCTCACCTCCTCCTGGTCCACACATCTTAGTAAGGCAGTTGGGTTACTGCATATGGCTGTCCCCAGAACAAGATCATCTCCTTTTGGCCCCTTCATGGATAATTATCAGTAAGAATATATAATATATACATATATAACCTACATAAGGTTATATACATTTATATGAAAACCCAGGATTCTGCCCTCACCACTCCTGGGCATGATGTGTTCTTATTTACCTCAACACCAACCCCCAGGATGTCTGGCGGCAGCCCTGCCAGAAGGGAGCATAAGACACTCGAGTATAATTCTGGTTTAGCCACCTGCTAAACCATTGTTTTGTTGGATTGTCATGATCCTAGATCAAAAGGATGATAACGACTAAGTTGACTACACAGCTCATCAAGACCTCCTACCACAGCCCATATGAACAAAAGTGGAAGACACACTGGGTCTCCATAAGTTTTTTTAAATGCCCTTGTCCCTCTTGCTCCTGAATGTTCTGGAGCATAGGTCTAGGTGCCAGTAGGGGATGAGCAGAAACAAGGGGAAGTTTTAGCTACTGAAATGGGAAAAACTGATTTTGTGGCAGTGAAAGGAGATCAACAATGTAGTCTGATAATGAGGTGCCTGGGGAGGAGATACCTTAGACCCTGAGAGGTACAAAGGATGGAGGAACATTAATGATCATTTATTTTTCAGAGCCACCCTGTCACCTTCCTATGAAAGAAAATGCCTTGGTGTTCCTCTCTCAAACTGTTGCAAGTGCCTTAAATTTAACTGACTACTGGGCTGACCATACCCACCAGAAGCTCTAACCACAATTTGGTTGTCATTCCCCTCAAACTTACTGAGAAATCTATCAGAAACAGCAGGGGACAGCCCCAGCTTCTGCCCCCAAAATAACAACAATCAGCACCTCCATTCCCATTGCCATCGCTCAGTCATTCCATGGTGTGGACAAATACCACCCAGTTTGCAGCACGGACAAACAGGAAAAGTTAAATTGACTGCCCTCAAGCAGTCTCTCCAAAGACAAAGAAGAGACACAATTATATGAGGTGAATTGGGAACCCTAAGGTTTACTACCCAGCAAGGAGGCTGCAGGCACTGTCAACCTTTGCAGCCTAACTAATGTAGGTCCCACTTGGTGTCCCCAACAATTGTAAATAACACTTGCTTTCCAGAGGCACCATGTGTCCTTCAGGACTGTACTTCTTGTGTAGCAGCCAGGCATTAACTTCTCTCCTAAAACCGTGGTGGCTTGTGCTTGCACCCTAGGAGTGGTCATAATTCAGCTGTTTATGGAAACATCCCCGATAGATCAGGTACCCTTAGACAACTGCAAAGATCTTTTCAAAATGAGACTACCCTTGGTTACTCAGAGGAGGTTTCTGGAAGGATAACTGACTTGTTATTCATCTTCACCCTAGGGGCAGTCATTCAATTAAAAAAGGAGATACAAAATTTGTCTCTGACTTTAGCTGAAGTAATGAATGACACCACTTCAGCCTTTAAAGGCATTCAGGTCAACATCAACTCACTGTTCCTTCATTGTCATGGACGATATAACTGCCCTATACTTCCTCCTTGAGGGCCAAGACAGTTTGGTGTTTGGTGTCCTGTTGGTAGTAGCTTTATTTAAATGCTGTATGCAGCAAATTGACTGCATTTGATCCCAGCCTCAGTCAGGCAGATTAATCAGAGTGGTCAATGGAGTGGTATACTAATGGGAAAATTCACCAGAAGGCAAGATGGTGTAGAAACAAGATTTGGATAATGTTGGGAGACAATTCTCCATGGTTCTCTTGCATTTCTGTACATATTATGAGCGACACACTGATTCCTCTTTGTTCTAGACTATCTTTTCGAGGCTCTTTGTATAGAAAGCAGCCTTGGAAGATAAAGATACTGTCTCCTTCCAGAGCAAAGGGCAGGTTTGCTTACAGTCTTGGAAATAGTGTCTCCCTCTGGAGCATTGCACAGGCACACTACCTGTCTAGTAAAATAACAATAATATCTCCCTTTGGAGCAAAGGGTAGGCATGCTTACTGCCCATTCTAAAAGATTCAGGTTGCCAAAGCTTAGTGTTCCTTTCCTGCAGTGCAAGCCCCTGAGTGTGCAAGTGTCATTTGCTCCTGTTCACAGAGCTGTGCGAAGTGGGGCTTTGGAAACTGGTATAAATGCTGATACTCTGGCAAGTCCTTCTGCTCTGAGTGCTGAACTGTCCCATATCTCTGACCAGAAGTCTCATGTCTTCTAAAGTGCCCATAAAGCTGTGGCAGGCTCACTTGTTAGCTTGCAAGTAGAGTAAAATCTCAGTTCTTGACAATCACTGTACGTTTGTTATTCCATAGCAACGGTATCCTCGCTAAACCACCATATTGAGAAAAAAAGTTAAATAATCATTAGTAGAAGGGGAATATGGCTTATTCATTTTATTTTTAAATGATCCCTTATAATAAAATTATATGCTTAAATTATAAGAGTAAAAGGAAATGGTTACTAAAATACTCTCAATAAATGTAAATCTTTTGCCACTTGCCCTTCCTGTCGAAAATCATTTGAAATGCATTTTCTTTCTTCCGTTTCATTCTATTTTTAATCCTGAGTGGATAAACTGGTAATTTCTCATCTTTTAAGTCAATAGTGAAGAAAGTCAATAAAATGTGTTTAAAAATAATATTTCAGGCTTAATGTTATCTGTTTGGATACAATTATCACTTCAAAGCTGACAAGGGTGATGGCAACTGATAAGGCACCACTAATCCCTCAACAGTTTATATAAGTTTTATTTTCTTTATGTGAAAAAATATTGTTATAAAATAAGAATCAAAAAGGAAAAGCATGAATGAATGAGATATTTTATTAACCTAAATTTTTTAATATTATAAAATAATACATTATCTTTGTGAAAATTCAAATATTACATAAATGTATGACTTCAAAGACTAAAGATTCCATTAGTTCAAGACTTCCAAAAAAGCAACTACTGTTAATAGTTTGCTATGCAAATACTAACATAAACATATATTTAATAGAAATATGATAGTCTACATGTTGTTTTCACTTTATCTTGGACCTATTGACATAGATATCTCAATCTTTAACTGCAAAGTTGCACAGAATTCCATTACGTTGATATATGGAAATTTTTTATCTAACTTCTTATTCATGGTGTGTAAGGTTATTTCTACCTTTTAGCCAGCAAAAATAATGCTGCAGTGAATATTCTTATATTTATATCCTCATATACTTCTAAGAGTATTTCTGTTGGATGAATACCCACAGAGATACAGACATGCTAAACGACAGGGCTTGCATGAATGCTACTGTTAGGTTAATATGGTCCCTGATTTATAAATGCACAGTAATACCACATTAACATTACGCTCTCACCTTTGTTGCCAAGGATTTGAGTTTTCCCAGTAATGACTGTTTATTGGAATATACAACTTCCTCTTCATTATCTTCTCCTTCCATGATAGCACAACTGTCTGCAGCTGGAAGTTCACACTCTTTTGAGTTAGTCGTCATTACTAATTTGGAATATTTGTACTCCAGTCTATGTAGTGGTAAATAAATAGATAAATAAAGTGGCTATTTAATATAAATTCTTATTTTAGGTGGTCATACACCAACTCATTAAACTGTCTTGTAAGATAGTTGCTCTACCAACAAATTTCCCTCCCTTATAGCTATAGGACTATGTGGTCTCATTTATCCACCATCTACACACAAATCTTTTCCAGGATCTCAGAAGTGGTGCAATACAGTTAACTCTATCACTTATTTTACACTGATGAAATCATCTAATTATGAAGAACTTTCGAAAAACAAAGAGAAACCTTGAAGTCTGAATGCATTTTCTTAATTTATAAATATTTGGAAGCTAATTCACTATAAAGTTTTCCAAAGTTTAATTCATAAGGATGAGAATACCAGATGGGCAAGTGGTTTGGTCTCTACTGTTTCTCTATCTCACTCCTTCCTTTCTATTCACCACCCCAGGTATTACAACTATCCCGAGATATTACAATACAGAATTTTCACAGCCCCACTGACATGTAAATCATTTTAAAAGTGTGAGATTATGTAACAGATCAATATACATTCAAGAGTTAGACTCAATGTTCAACTCCAGATTCTTGGAGTCCTGGAGTAAACAAAGGGGATATTTGCCTATACACTTAGTTTGTTTCTTCACAAATATCTGCCTACAAGAAATTAAAAAAGAAAAGATGAGGCAAGAAGACAGCATGTCATCATGAAAGAAAAAAAACAGATACAGAGAGAAAATCTGCCTTCCAATCTCAGCTCTGCTCCCATCTACCTGAGTAAAGGGGTCTCCATTTTTCTTTGTTTTATAATAAATGAGTCTAATTCAGTCTCGAACATTCTATGATCTATTATCAGAATAACAATCATTTCCATTTGTTTTCTTAAAGGCCTTTCCTATAACTCCTTCACTAGGAGAAATTTCGTTTGTCTCAGAGAGAAACTATTGGATATAATGAATTAAGTCTAAACTTTTCACAACAAAAGAGATCCTTCAGTTCTTATATGGTCACTCCAACGAGGTTACTTACTTCTGATTCTTTTTCCAGAAGTAGCAAGTTAGAGCCACCAGCAAAACAGCTGTGAAAGCTCCCACACCTGCTCCCACTTTTAGCCAAAAGTCAACTGTTTCGCAGGTTGACAACTTTTTCTCAGGCAAAGAAATTCCTTTAATGCACCATTTAGGTTCATTCCATACATATAAGGTTTCCTTTAAAAAAACACACACAGAGAGATGACATGATAAATAAGATTCAGCAGGAGAGAGTTTTGCTAACCCTTTATCCCTTTATTCATAGTAGGCATAAAGGACTACTCAGCATTCATCTAATAGAAGCTCTGGAAAGAGAGGCAAGAGGTATAGAAGAGAGTGAAGAAGGAAATAATGAATGAAAAAGCAATAAAAACATGAAGTGTCAGATCAGAAGGCTTGCTACATGCTGAGGAGGTTGAATAAAAATTACTCCATCTGGACACATCATTTGGGCTATTTTCCTCAAATTTCTGATGATCTCTGATTTCTTAATCATGTTTTTAAATGAAAGCTTAGCTGTCTAATCTGGTTAACTGAAATGGGTCATACCTACCCATCACGCAGGTCCATTTCCCTAACAAGCCCCTCCCCCTGAGTAGAAGAGCAGGCCCTGGACTGGGGATATGTAGGTGCACCATGACTGGCAGGCTGTGGTGACTGGGGCGGGGTTAGGCACACAGCCTGGGCGCCTCTTCCCCATGCCAAAATAAGGACGGCATTATTCTGGGTCATCACTACTCACACGAGGTGCTTACTCTCAGCTTCCTAAAGTAGACGACCCAATTTTATTAGGACAATGTTTTTCAGACTGCAAGCTGCAACTAACTAGTGAAGAATAAAATCAATATACTGGGTCTCAATCAGCAATTTTTTTTTAAATAAATAGATCAAATAAGACAGATCAGAAACAAAAATGTGAGTACAGTGTATGGTTCCTTATGTATTTCAACATACACAGTGACCAATTTGTATGATGATTATATCCACTGACATTAAAACACATGAGGCATTAAATCTTTTGCTCATTGTGTCTCATTAAATTTTCTGGTGAATGATGGTTACTTTATCAACACCACAACAGAAAGATAACACCATAATGTTTAATTTTATTTTACACACACACACACATTTTTGCAGTTAGTCATGAAGTGACTGACGCGCAGAAGAATAGTATTTACTTTGAGAAAAAGTTTCAACCAAGTTTTGGATAAGAACTTTCAGCATGTTTTATAGAAAGGACATTAGTAATTGAAAATTTTTTAGTGCATGCCAACTGTAACATTTTCATTAAACTTAGTGCAAATAAATTGCTTTTAAAATGGGTTACATTATTTTTATAAGAATGATGAGGTGAGAATTGAAGAGGGATGTTCCAGTTCAAGTGCTGTATCTCTAAGCATAAATAATGACAATGAAGAGAAAAATGTTAACTCTAGTCAGCAAACGTTGACTTCATTTTTGAAGTGCATTCCAACAAGAAAAAAAGATTGTGCAAGAGTCTATATGGTTTTATCAAATGTGCAACACCCGATGAAAATGGCATGCTCTAATATCTAATGACAGTCTTATAAACACACTGTTAAAACTTCAAAATTAAAAAGATACTTGTAAACTCAGAATACTTAACTTTTCAATAAGCTCCTCAAATTGCTAAAGAAAAAGAAAAGAGCAAGCTATTGGAAAAATTTTTTAGTCATTCTATAACTATGAATTAGAAAGCCTTATCCCCTCATTCCAACACATATCATTGGCAAACGAGAAAATAGCTGACACTGCAGCTGCAAAATTTATTCTTCTAGCAGGTAGGGATATTTTGTGAACAAGGTGAGATAAATTTGAGGATAAATTTAAAGACATTCCTCTTGGTGACAACACAGTATCTCTTGAAATCTTTACTACCGTATGACATTTAGAAGTAATGCTTACTGCATACTTAGAATCTGGTATAGATTTTTGAGATCCAATCTGATAAGAGCCCTTTATCACAAGTTGGGCAGCTCTTTTAGGTTGTATCAGCTATCTCTGTAGGACTTGTTGTAGTGAGTAAATTTAACTTCATGTGGATCTGGATTAGATATATTTACAGAATTGGAGAAGTGCACTTTCAGTCAATATAAAGTGAAAAGAAATAGGAGCAAGAAATAGGACAGAAACACAGTAGAATTATTAAAAATTTAAAGATACCTATAGCAATATTTTGCAATCACTGCTTTCTTTCCTATCATGAAGCTTTTGGCAGCCAAAGAAATCCCTTTTTTCATGGACGTAATGGCAAACATAGTGAAAGCTGTCATTTGTATTATGTGAAGCTCATTGAAGAGCAGACTTTTTGAAATATTTTATTCAGAGATTGGAGGTAAACATATCCAGTGACCGCATCACACCAATTTGTTTGTTGTTGCAAGGTGTATGAGCTTAGGAAAGGCATTCATATCTTTTAATTGAAGCTCAATCTCATTTGGCAAATATTTTCAATAGTGACACCCAAGTATGACAGAAGGGCATATTTAACCAATTTTGGTATTTCTCAAGTCAAATTTGGAAATATAGGGGGAAATTATATATTTCAACATGTCAAATACATCAAAGGGTTGCAAAAGATATTATTCTTAAGGCAAAAGCAAATATTTAAAAAGATATAGCACAACTATCTGTTCCTAACATTCTTATAACATGTTGAACAGAACCTTTTCAGTGAAGACAGTTTGAATGAGATAAAATTAGAGAAACTGTTGCAAGCTCACGGTCTTAAACTTCTAATCGTTACGTTCCGGAAGAGAAATATTAAATATTAAAGGACGCTTGGATGAAAGGTCATTTAGATTTTCAAAACCCTTGAATTAAACTTGGTGGCCGAGGAAGGGAATGCATCTTAGTTTTTCATTACTGTAATAAAATGATTACAAGAGAATAAGTTTATCATAATTTTAGAGAAAAGGTAAAGAATAATCAGCATCATGAAGCATAAAAATTGTATCATTATTATTATGAGGATTAAAAAGAAACCATTTTTTGCGAACCTGAGATTTTCATCCTGGACCCACTTAAAAACGTTAGAAACAAACTAGCTCCACAGAGCACTAGATGCGTGAGCTGCTCTGCCTCTGTGTGCTCCAGACCGGGATGAGCTGTCTACAGGTGAGCACACGACGAATTAAGTAAAACTTCTCCTAATTTTTGTTGTAGTGTTGCCTATTGGGGGACTTTTCTATTTTGTATTAAATAATTAATGAAAACACATTTTATATTAATGCTATGCTTATGCTTCATCATAGAATATGAAAATAAGTCTTGCTCCATGAAATAATTTTATTTTTAGGCATATCTCTACATGCTTGAGTGTGTGTGTGTACTAAGTTTGATGTACAATGTGTTTCTTACTACAGGTTCACTGCATTAAAGTTTGAAAAATACCCTACGTTTTTTTTCCTAGAGGTGAACACTACTGCTTCCAAATACACTGAATGCATGGGACTTGGTGGGGGCATTCTGATTCTTCTCATATTCGTGTCTTCCAACCTGCCAACAACATGCCCCACAAGACTTTCCTGGGCAGAACAGCTCCCCCTCTCTGATGCTCTTACTCAGTGAGCACTCTAGCGTGTTTCCCACTCCGTGACGACCTGAAGATCAGTCCTATCCCATCTACCTTCCAGCTCTCAGAAATCCTACTGGAATCTCTCATCCTCTGACATCCACTCTCCAATAGGGTCCCCACCACTGGTATTGATTTATTCTCACCTGTGCTTTTTGACTGTGATTTCAATGGAATTTGGAGAGGGTGAGGTGGCAAGTAGCCTTGAAGGAGGAAAAGTTTGTGCTTTTCACATGATACTACTCAAAGCTTGTGCAGTGAAGTAGGTGCTCTCAAACACTCCTCGTAGAAGTGCAAGTTGATACAACCAAAGCAATTTAATAACATGTATCAAGAACCTTAAAAATGTCCATCTCCTAGGATCCAATTAATCCCTTTCTAGCAATAAACTCTAAGGAAATAATCAAATTTCCAACAAATATGTTCGTTTCAGAGTTATTTACAAAAAGACTCAAATGTTCAATGAGGAATTATTAAATCTCAAATTACATAAATAGGATATTTGTCATAAGTAAAAATCATGTTTTCAGAAAAATATTTAATGATAAGGGAAATATATTAAATGTAAAAAGGAAACAAAAAATATATATACTAGAATCCCAACTTTATTTTTTAAAAAATAAGCAAACAAATGATTGCAGAGAAAATAGAGACTAGGATCTTGATTACATATGTATGTATATGTATATGATTTACTCTTTGGATATGCTTCTTGTGGTGAGTCAGTTATACCATTTCCATTTTAATTACACTTATAATTTCATAAATCAGATCTTGGTTTAATAATACCATTTCTTTATAATCCAGGTAAATATCCATAGCCTACAACTCCCTTGCCATAATTCATTTTTCCCAATCCCAGTGCACATCTTCAGCTACCCCAGCATATGGGAGTTTAGCTACCAAATTTGATTTGAAATGCATATTAATGTCACATTAAGTTAACTATAAACTTTAGCCATGGTTCTGAACCTGAGTTTCTATGATTGAAGGGATGCCAGACTAACCAATTATATCCTCAATGACACAGTTCTGCTTAGACAAGTTTGCCCCTTACCTGAAATCCTCTCTTACAGGCTCCTTCAATCTCATGGAAGTCATGCTCTGTGCACAGAGGGCACGCTTCAGCGCTCTCCCACAGGAAATAGAATGTACATCCATCACAGGTGCCTGCTGGGCACTTGCTGAAATAAAAAATGAAAAACAAAAAAAACCACAGCTTTTGTAACACATTCAATCCAGTCCAATCAACAGCTGAGTGCCTACTGCATACTGGGAAGCAATGTGTGGATGCTGAGGAAACACACGAGAAAAAAATCTAAAGGAGACAAAACCACAACAAGATACCACTTCGCATCTGCTAGGGTGGCTAGAATCAAAAAGATAATAACAAGAGTTGCAAGGATGTGGAGAAACTGGAACCCTCACACTCTGCTGATGAGAATGTAAAATGGTGCAGCTGCTTTGGAAGAATCTGGCAGTTCCTCAGACAAACACAGAATTCCTGTATGATCCAGCAATTATACTCCTAGGTAAATACCCAAGAGAAATGAAAACATACGTCCACCCAAAAACCTGTACATGAATTTTCATAGCAGTATTATTCATAACACTCAAATGGAGGAAACAATCAAAATGTCCATCAACAGATGAATGATAAACAAAATGTCGTATACCTATACAATGGAATATTACTCAGTCATAAAAAGGAATGCAGTACTGATACATGTCTCAACTTGGATGAACCTTGAAAACAGAATGCTAAGTGAAAGAAGCCATTCAAAACCTCCATATATTATATGATGCTATTCATATGAAAGGCCAGAACAGGGAAATTTATAGAAACAGAAAGTAGATTAGTGGTTGCTTAGGGTCAGCCTAAGGATGGGGCTAGAGCGTAGGGAGGTGATAGCTAAAGAGTATGGAGTTTTTTTAGAGGTGATGAAAAAGTTCTAAAATTGACTGTAATAGCAATGGTTGCACGTACCTGTGTACATTGTTAACATTAAAAACAAACAGAGACCAGTACTGAAAATTCCCTGAGTAGACAAAAGCAACTTAGTCATACAAACAAAGATTAATTTAGCTTATTTTGCAAGACTAACTTGACCTGGGTCATTTTTTGCTCACACCTCTGGAAATCATAAGCAAAATTTAAACTGTTTCCCAAAATTGATATGAGGTAACCACTAACCAATTCCCTATCATTTAAGAAAATTCTAATAGTATAACTAGTCACTGTGAGGAATAAACAGTCACTGCCTTCCCTCTATATAAGCTGCTTCACAACAATATGTCTCTGAGCCTCATCTCATGCTTTGATTTGAGTGCTCCCAGTTTGCAAACTGTCTTTTTGGTGTGTGCCCAATAAACTTTTACTAATTACTACTTCAGTGATTCACTGGTTTTATTTCTGAACTTTTGATATTACTAATAACCATTGAATTGTATGCTTTAAATCGATGAATTGTACAGTATGTGAATTATATCTCTATAAAGCTGTTTTTAAAAAAATTTATGGGAGAGACAGAGATAATGACAAAAAAAGCTCTGGGAAGGCTTCGTGGTAGAAGTGATGTCTAAGACAAGTCTAGAATATTCAGTAGGAGTTAGCCATAATAGAGGGGAGGAAAGCAGGGAACTCCTGCCAGAGGGATGAAATGGTAGATGAAGTGGAAGGAAATCACAACAGCCCCTGTTCCAGGGGCTTCCAGAGCAAGGCAGTGAGTGAGCGCCAGGCACAGAGGCAGGAACTATGTGGTGAAGGGAGGTACGATCTCTATTTAAGGTAATGTACTTAATGACATGCTTTAAGGGAACAGAACGATGCACAGGACAGCGGTCTAGAGAGTGGGGAAAAGACATGAAAACAAAATTGCCTAAAGTAAAAAAACAAACAAACAATCATCAGGTCAACACACAGCCCAGTGATGCCAATGGGTTTGCAATCCTAGGTCCTCGACCTGAGGATGACTTCCTCTGCAAGGCGGTTACCTTCACCACTTCGAGATGATGGATGAAGCCTAGACACAGGTGCAGGATCACACTGAACCAACCACCAGGCAGGGCCTGAATGGAGACTTTTTGAAACCCTGCTTTCTGGTGGGTGGGCCTATTACGTCAACTTGCCTCTCATGTTAGGGACAGATGAACACAGCAGAGCTCAAAAATTAACCTGCTGTTACTGCGTACAGAATCCTTACTGACTGAAGTAAGAAGCTATTTGGAAACGTTCTAATGGGAATGGCTGTTTTGTTCATGAATTCGTTAAAGCTAGGGAAATATTGTTCCCTTAATTTGTCTACTGCACTTCCCTTAAGTCAAGCATGTAAATATAGGGCATTGCCCTGAAAATCTCGTTCAGTCCTTAGCTGGTTCTGAGTACAGGTGACCTGAAACACCTAATAGCAAAAAGAAAGAAACGCAATAACAGGGAGAATCCAAAAAAGACCTCTTTTTAAGTTTTACTTTCAAATGCCTTTCTGATGATACATAGTCCAAAACTATAATTTTCAGTCTACCAGCAAAGTTTCATACTCTTAGTCAACTAAATATATCCTAAGGTACCCCAGAATATGAACACTAAAATAAATCTGTGTGTCTAAAATTTGACTGCATTTTTATATGCCTGTCTTTGCAGAGTGTCCACATGCTATAGACTAACTAGATACGGGAGGGATGTAAATAAAAGCCAAGTTCTTTATAACAGGCTTCAGAAAGAGAGGCCCAGTATTGTCAGAGCCAAGAACAAGGGTGAAGGGTGACTCTCTGGAAAAATGGCTTTACTCTTATCTGCCTTAATTTCTCTGTTTGTAAAAAAGGGAATATGGGTATATTCAGACTGAGAAACAATGAGAGATTTTTTTAAAAGTAAGTATAATAGATCAAAATCATGTCACTTAAAAAAAATCCTTACTTTCCACCTTTCAGATCAGTAAAAGCAACTCAAAATTGCTCTTTTGAAAAAAAATTGGGTAACTTGTTAGAAAAATTCTTCAAAAATGCAATTATTATTTGCATAAGAACGATTTGCAACTTTAAAAGTAATTACAGGGGCCAGCCCGGTGGTGTAGTGGTTAAGTTCGCACGCTCCACTTCGGCGTCCAGGGGTTCTCAGGTTCGGATCCTGGGCGTAGACCTACACACCACTTATCAAGCCATGCTGTGGCAGCACCCCACATATAAAGTAGAGGAAGATGGGCACGGATGTTAGGTCAGGGCCACTCTTCCTCAGCAAAAAGAGGAGGATTGGCAACAGATGTTAGCTCAGGGCTAATCTTCCTCACCAAAAAAAAAAAAAGAAAGTAATTACACTTTTCTGACCATTTAGCAAAAATTACCAAAATGCTTTTCTGCTCAAATCTCTTCTCCCCAAATTATTTTATCTTTCCAACACAGAGAAGTTTTAAAGGAGGGGGGAAGTGTTTATCTTGGGAAAATAAAAGAGTAAGTCTGCTCAAGTTTGAGAAGAAAGAACTCAACAAATGAAAAAGAAAAGAAAATTAATCAAAGTTGTATTAAAGCTCTGGAAAGAAGACTTGGGTCACAATTGTAACTGGACTTTCAAATAGTTGTTTCAGATTGTGTGTTTTTCCACAAGTGACTCAATCCCTCTCCCTGCTGTTTCATTTTTGTAATTTGTCAAAAGCAGAATGTCTGCTCTACTGCCTTCACAGGGCAGTTATAGAGGATAAAATGAGAGAACAATTTGGGAACGTTTAAAGCATTGTAAAATATAAAAGACTATTAACAATGCCCATCGCTTTCTAAAGAACTGGTAGAACTACAGAAACAGAAAAAAATATCAAGACATTGATGTAATTTATAAAGCTGCCATTAGGTGTCAAAATAATACAATGATTCAGCGTCTTTCCTTGGTAGACTGCACTTTTTAAAAGATACTCCTAGGTTAAAAGTAATTTAGTTTAGAATCAATTCTTTAATTCTTTTAACCCACTGAATCATTTAAAATGTGGAACATCCAAATTTGATTCTTTGTTATAAATACAAGTTTCACAGTTTGAATCCGGCCTTCCTATGAAACGACAAGGATGTATGAAGCAGAAATAATTTCAATAGTGCTTATATATGAAATGAAAATAGAAAAAAAGATGCAAGAGAAAAAATAAAAGTACTTTCTCCTACTAAGAGAAAAAGAGAAAAGCAAATAGTAACATAAAGTTTGCTTTATTGCCAAATATATGAAATAATTTTCCCTTTAATGACCTGAGTCACGTCATCTCCACTCTCCCTCCCCACATCTTTTTAAAGATGTCACTAATTGTGTTTCTTTTATAACTTTTGGTTTGCTCAATCACCATAGAAACCAGTGAGTAAATGTCTACAGAGAGTTCATGGTCACAGAAAGCTGGGACATGCGAGGCTGGAGTTCCACAAGATGACCAGACGTGCTGTGAATCTAGGAAGAGAAACCACCATCGATGCAAAGGACAACCAGGTGGACACTGATTTGGTTTTACTGGTAAATGAGGAACAGACTTTCATTTCCTTATTTTGCTACTGGGATTGCCTTACAAATCAGGATAGTGCTGGCAATGTGTAAGAATTCAGATGAAGCTTTTTTAAGGAATTTATGTCTTAGATTCTAAAATGGGACACATTTCCTGAAAGGATAACTGGACTGAGGTAGGAGGTACTAGTGTCTTCTTTTAGGTGAATCATCTTACCTAAACCAGGATCTACTTGGCTCATATTATGAATTCCTGGAAAAAAATCTTGTTTTCTTATGAACCATGATGATGACCTAAAATTCAACCTATTATTAATTGTTTGGATAGTTAATAAATCAGTGTAAAATTGTTTTGCCTCAACTTCATTTAAATCCAAAGTTAAAACAAATTCCTCTACATTGTCAATACATTTCTGACCCTTCTGGAGTTTGTCTCAGGAGACTGGGGGGGGAGGGCGGGAGGCCACAGTCCTGTGTGCCAAGAACATTTATCATTTGGTGTGTCAGGGCACTAGTGTTGCTGACTTCTTTCATGTGGGGCTTTTGTGGGTCTCTTGGGGTTCCCTATGCTCAGGGTATTCAGACTGGCATCCTCTGGCATGGGCGATGCTCTCTGACTTGCTGCTGGTGACTCCCCTTGGCTTTGGCATCGCCTTTCTCTGCTGAGGGTGCCTTATCATTGGCAGAAGGCCTTCTTGTGTGGGGTCCATAAAACGCCATTGCATCTTGCTCCAATTTTGTCTGCCCTGAGGCTAAAGAATATAAATCGCTTATGACTGAGTTTGAACATAAAATTTTTTGACCCATAGCCCTTAGATCCAGGGATATAAAGTTCTACCAGTCTCCTGAAAAAATTCTCCCTTTTTAAAGATTCTACCCTGGATTAATTACCAAAAGCCAGCATCTGATCAAGACCTGGACAAACTACATTAACCAACACTTCCTAGTCCCTTACATCTATAGATTCTGTATCTTCTTCAGTGAAATAAAAGTCTGTCCAAGTTTTATCATCCCTATTATAAATTTATCCTAAAACTTTGTGACTGTTTTGTGATATTTCTATATCTTAACATTACTCTTTAATGTTTGAATTGTATTAACAATTCTGTATTAGTTTTTCCATTTCTTGATCATCATGGCATTTAGTTGTTTTCACTTATGCTTATAGTGCTTTTATATGCCTCCTTACTTCTTAATGTTCTATGAACATATTTGGTTTTAATCTTTTGTGTTCTATTGGCTTTTTAATTTACCTTGTAAGATTTAGATATCTATCGTCCCATAAATGGTGCAGAGGAAAAAGAAAACAAGGAACTCATTTAACCCATCATTATTCTCTGGCTCTTAACAACTTAAAATGGATAGACTTTTCGGTTTGAATGGGTTCTTCCCCAAAGACTAAAGAAAACACTACACTAGCATCCAGTAGATCTGATGACTTTGACAGAGAGACTCTCAATCACAGCCTGGAATAAACTCTGGCATGTTCGACCTCTGAACACTATCAGGTCAGAACTGTGAAGCATCCCTTCTGTGAGATACGGTATTCTCAGAGGCTACGCTTATAAGGAAGATCAATTCTGGTTTTCAATTGAAGGAGGTTTTGGCAAAACAATTTTAGACTGATCTATAAACTACCCAAGCAATTAAACATAGTCATAAGTTGAGAGAGAGAAAAGAGAGAATGAATGATGATTTTCCTCTAACTCATAACATTAATAAAGAAGACTTTATTTGGGGAGTGATGACTCACTTAGAAGAAGACACCAATAACTTTCAGATCAGTTGAGTTATCCCCCAGATATTTGTGTGATATTTGCCTCTTTGCTTAGTGTGCATCTCTGCAAATCTCTGCAGATGAGGAATTGAAGGGAAAAAAACGGTCAGATGAAAACATGATGGCAAGAATAGAACAGTGGACACAGGAAATCCTTCTACCTTGACTGTGCCACCCCAGAGCTATGTAGCTGGGTCCTCAGTGCTTCCTACTGTGTAAAGGAAATGGGTCTGACTCAAGGATCTCTAATGTGTTGACATCTCTATTATCAGAGTAAAAATGGTTCCCCTTGCCTGTTTTCTAATAAAGCTTTTTTATAACCTTTTCACTAACAGAAGCTTCTCATGTTTTTGAAAGAGCACTTTGCACACGATGCTTAGGTCTAAATTTTCCCAAATGAAAGCAGAACCTTCAACTCCTCTAACCACCTAGGATGGTGATTAGAGGTTTGGGAAGCCTTTCAGGCAGAGGCTGGAGGGGCATCTATTTAGGGTATTAGTGGTCTATTGTGTTGGCAATTTATTCTCTGGCCGAGGTACAAACTGCATTAGATAATCTCAAAAGTTTACTGCAGCTCTCAGATTTCATCTGCCACGACATCATGCTGTTAAGTTTTTATCTAAAACGTCTCACACCCTCCATTCTAATTATGGAATTAGAAACCAACTGCGTTTGCCAGACAAAACAGACAGGTGGAGTTTCCAATTGCAGACTAGTAGGCAGCCCAAATAATGTGCTGTTTCCTCTAAATTTCACATGAGATACAGAGAAAACACACATTTTCTCTTTTCTCCTGTCCCATTCACTTTCTGCTAAGATATTCTCATTTTCCCAGGGCTGAGTGTCTTGTGTCAATTTCCCAGGTCACCAAGATACAGAGCCTCAACCAACATTACTACTGCTGAAGTCACCTTTGCCTGGTTGGCCAAGATTCTTGGCCTAGAGAGGAGATATTCCTGGGAGTAGCATCCTTTCTGAACTGCCAAAGTCTCTTCTGAGACCTGTTGGTCAGCATATGAGACTTCTCAAGGCAAGTGCTTTGTTAGCACCTTCCCCTCTCTCCTGGAGAATTTAAAGCTCCAAAAAAAAAATGCAAAGTAAGTCCTCTTCAAAAGTAGCCCAAGAAACCTGGCTCTGTTAACATTTCTTTACTGTTCATAGGAAATCTTTATTCAGCCCTACAGCTAAAGAAATTCTAATTATTTCAGGACAAGCTGCTGTTTCTCATGTTCTGATCCCAGAGCTCCCTCTTGTGGCCTGATGGGAAACTGAGTCAAGAAAGAACTAAAAGCACCTGTAGGTTGTGGGGTTCGAGCAATTCCCTAGAGCAGTGGTCCTCAAACTTCAGTGTGCAACACAACTACAAATAAAGTTTTATCTAAATATGGGTAAAGGAGTCCACCTTGAAGACCACGACATTTTAAATTAGCTTTTCAAAAAACTCAAATGCAGAACAAAGTCTGAGTATCTGTCTCAGAAGAAAACAAGCCAAATCTCCAAAATGCGGGTTACAACTAATGGTTCTCAAACTTTAATATGCATCAGAATTGCCTTGTGTTTTTAAAAATATTCCCGTGCTCAACACTCAGAGATTCTTTAGGTCTTAGGGAAGGCTCATAAATCAATTTTAAAATTGACAACCCCAAGGTGTTCTGCCACAGATGATCTTGCGAAACCCTGGCAAAGACACTTAAGTTCCCTAAACAGAAAAAGGTGCTAGAGGTCAAAGGAAAAACTTAACTTTTCCTCTCCTCCAAAGAAAAAATCAGTTTCTAGATGCCATCATTTAACATCATGAGACTATTTTTTTTGTTACATTAAAACATCAGAACCCACCTTGGGAGAGTTAGAGTGATATATTCTCCAAAGGACAGACCTAGGCTTTAGGAACACTGTCTGCTTGAGTCAGAGACCTGGAGGAGGCTCTGGAAGCCATCCAGGTAGACTCCTAGAGGCTAGATCCAGAGAGGTTAGTTGCTAGGTCCAAAAAAGGACCTCTGATGTGCTACAGTAAATAGAAGCAGCATCTGAACTCAAGGCTCTGTGATGGGATATGGGAGCAGGATGAAAGAATCTCTGACCACACCTTCTATAAAGGAAGTGCGGTTTGCTGCCTTGACTCTAGCATAAATGCTGGCATAGGGATGCTCCACCACATGATGCCCATAAGCATCAGGCTCCCTTTGTCTTTCACTGATGTCTATTACCTTTTATCATCTACTCCTCTCATCACATTCTTTTCTCATCTTGAAAAGGTGAAAAGAAAAATTAATTCGTAGATCTATGAGAACCAGAGAAACACAGTTGGTAAGAGGTGAATACTAGGGTGTCTTTATGCCCCAAAATGAGCCCACAATACTGTGTTACCACTGTAACCATTTTTAAGGTGTCCAAGTAGTTAAAGCAAATGTTTAGACCACTGATTCCCAATCCTGATGTGACATAAGCAGGACAGCTTAAAATCTCTCAAGGGTGATTGTGAAACTATCAAAAACAAAATTAAGTTAATCATTTTCTTTCTTAAAACATATACTTTTGCTACCTTGATGGAGAAAAATCTGCAAATCATACTGTGATCCAAAAGTACCCTAACCCTAAAAAGACTAGAAATAAATTATCTACATATGAAGCAATGAATAACTGTGAAAAATAAAAATCAGCAGACATTTAAGTGTCACTTATGCCATGAAAGCAGTCTTTACTTAAGTTAATAGTTCTTCTGAGTCCATGAAATTGCTTGTTTTCTCCCAGTGTTCCCACCCAATGGGGACTGTATTAATCAGATCTGGACTGTGGAGAGCTGTTGCCTCAATGCCAATAAGTTAAGTGAACTGTATTGTGTATATTCTACAGGTCAGACTCTACCTTGGTGATCCTGCCACCATTAATCAGAAAACTGAAGAGTTGGAAATGGATCGTACAAATTATCTACCCGGGTCCCCATCCCCTTAAAGAAAAAGAAACTATAACTCAGAGGTTAGATTACCTAATCTAGATCACCCAGACAGTTAATTATTGAAGAAGAACTATAATCCAGGAAAGTTCCTAAACCAGCTCTCAAGGAAACTGAGGCTAAACAGTAAGAATAAATACGAGGATACAAACAATATAATCATTTATTACTTAAATAATTTTCAAGAGAATTAGAAAGTCAGGCAAACAGGACCAGAATATGTCATTGAGGAGATTGGGAAGTATTAAGATTGGGCAAGGACCTATTCCTCTTAATAGCCACTCAGCACAACCCTACAACAAAAACCTACCTATTCTTCTGTTCTCTTTCTGCTTTATATCCATAGAGAATGTTTTAAAATAGTAAGATTCTGGAGAGTTTTGCTTCCTCATAATAAGTACAAATGTGGAATAATCATATAGAAATAAGAATACCTGGGGACTGAAATCACTCCTGCTCCTGCTTTAGCAGGATTACACCTCATTTTCACAGCAGTTGATCGGCCATTAGCACAAGACGTTGTAGTTGTAGAAGACCTATTATAAGGCAAATGTCGTTTTACAAAAACAGCTATGACACAGATCACAAAGACAAAAATATCCCGTGTATAATTGCTTCTATGCTTTCTGAACAAATGAAAAAGAAAAATGTATCAAAGTTCACTGATTTAGAATTTTAATATAAATTGAGCTCATTTACTTTCACTGTCTGTGAAAAGTTGATTATTTTCCCAGGTAAAGTGATAAGCTATCATAAAAGTATTTAGTGAAGCTATTGTAATGATCCCCAAAATTATAATAAAAAATTTTTTAAGGGAATAGAGGTCATATCTACTTAGACTGATGTTTTGATCTGTGAATTACAAATAATTACTGCCTAGACAATGAAGTAGAATCTCTTTACTGTCTAATTTAAAAGGTTATATGAGATAAATTATATACTGCTTTCAAAATATTCCATGTTTCCTACTTTTTACTAAGTCTTTCATTTAAGAACCAGTTACTGATTATCTATTAAGTGTAAGCCCCTATAGTAGGCACCCTGAAGTGACATCCTTTTGATTAAAAAATAGTCAAGGGAAGCAGTATCTTCACTTACTTATAAAAGAAATGCACATCTGGTATTTGGCTAGGTGGAATTGGGAACATATCTTCTTTTATATTAATATTCTGCAATGTAGTTTCAACTGTCACTCCTAGATGACAACAAAAAAGAAACAATATATTAAGCAATATGGGAAAATTAGGTTTTTTTAAGTCTCTGTATATCTGAATAGAAAATAACTTTACTTTGATGCTGTGATTTTCCCAGAAATATTGTATTAAATTAATACATTCCTGGTGACCGTAAGAACCTTTCCAAAGTCTCCAGAATAAAAAAGAAAACATTCTACTCCCTAGCTTTGTAATTTTGTTTAAGTCACTTCACTTCCCTGGGTCTTATGTCCTGAATCTCTAAAACGCATGCCATAATATAGACGATCTCTAAAGCCCCTTCCAGTTCTCACATCAACAATATACTATTAAAATTCTCATTCTTCTGGTGAGTTCTGTCGAATGAGCTGGGCTATTTTGCTAATACAGCTTTTCACTCATATTCAATATAGACATACTTGACAAAACAAAAATTTTTGTGCCCAAATAATTTCCAGAAAATAACTCCAAAATTTGTTTAATCTAGAAGTTATCTAAAAGTAAGACATGTTTCCAATCTCTTGTAGGCCAAATGATAGCAGAGCCAACATGCAAGCAATAACAGTAACCTTAGCTTCTGACACCTAGTTCTGATGCTGAGCACAAGCTCGGTAACTGACCTTGGTGCTGAAAATTAAAGCTCAAGTCCTCTGGAGTCTACAGCAATGGTTCTCAACTCTGGCTGCACATTAGAATCGCCTAAGAAGCTTGTTAAGTTGTTAGATAGTTACATGCCTTGTTAGATTCCTAATCCCCACCCTAGAGGTTCTAATGAACTTGATCCCTAAGAATCACTAAATAGGGACCTGAATTCTTCTTAAAACTTTCCTATACCTTCCAGACCACAGAGACAGAAAGGGCAGACGGGGTATAAAATTTAGCACATTCACCTTTGCTATTTGTCACCAGCTTACTTCTGGTATGAAAAAAGATTATGCAAACTGGTGGCAGATATTATGATTTCGGTTTATATTATGTTTGTTTCCTGTTCTATTTTTGTTTATAGTTTTTGTTTTTAAAATTATTTTGTTTCTTAAACTCCCAAAGAATCTGATGAAAGGCACAGACTCTCAGAAAAGATCTTATCACATATGAATTAATATATAAATTCAGAAGATCCTTGTCCTCAGTGAGATTGATCAATAGACCTCACTTGTAGGGGCTTTTTAACCATGTTACAAAGTGATGATTTAGAATTACCTGTGGGCCTTAATCATCTATGGTAAACACCAATGCAATAAGTTTTAATTTTACCATATTACCATAATTTTAGAATAAATACATGCATGCATATAGGAACCAAATGAAGCTTACCTAAAAATGTATCTGCCAGAATGATGGATTGTGATGACAAGGCTGCTCGGAAACCCTTACTTTCAGAAGGAATAATAGTAGACTGGCATATATATGCTCCTACCAAATTCGTGTAGTCATCTGACCCTGCCACCATTTCCTTTACTGTAAAGTCTGTTATATTGTTGGTACAGAGAGCCATCTTCTTCCCCTAGGAAAACAAAGTCATAAAAAGGTTTTATTGAAGAGTCAGTCACTAAACTGGATCTCAGATAGCTAACGACTCTAGTAGAACAGCAGCTCTCTCCTCATCACAGGGATTCTGATTTAATTGATCTGGTGTGGGGCCCAGGCACCAGTATTCATTAAAAGCTCTTGAGGCAATTCCAATCTTCAACCAGGGTTGAGAGTCACTGAAGTTATAATAAATACAGTAATTCAAGGCTGCACTGCTCCTCCAACTATAAGCATCACTTGTGCTGGATGCAAGCCATCTAACTTAAGGAAATAAAAGTCATCTATGAGACCTTCAATTCATAGGATAACAATGCATACAAAGAGACCAGAAAAATGCTGGTGAAGGTTTTAATGCCAAGAAAAAAGACTTGTTCTTCCTTCTCCTTTATAGGCCTATGTGGGGCAGAAAGGTAATGTGAAGACTGAAGAAGAAAGCATAAAAGCCATATTGCAGCAACACCCTAGGACAACATCTAAACTCAACAGTTGGTCACTACAAGTGTCTTTAATCACCTACCCTTAGACTCAATGATGTGTATCTGCTTACCTCCACAGTAAGCTGAAGGGAATACAGAGGTTTACTTTTTTACTCATTTGGAGGGTAACTGGAAGATACAATTTATAAAAAGTGGAAGATTGTTTAACTATGGGAATGTTTAAATATACTATAGTCCCACTAGAAAGGACTAGAGCGTGCTTTATAACGTCTAGGAAGAAATGTATAAAGGAAAATAGGAATACCATTTTATTGGTCTTAAATGTAGAGTGTGCACAGACAGGCATAAAGAAAAGAATAAAGATTTCCCCTTCTTAATGCAGCTACCAATCCTGACCTATAAAAGTCTCTCCCTCCACCAAGCCTTCTCACCACAATACAGGTGCAATATATTTTTACTAAGCTTAAATTAAATTCTTGAAGGCAAAAAGAGAGAAACAATGGAAAAGATCAGAGAGCAACTGAGGACAGAAACAGGAAAACAACAGTAAAAGGAAAGAAACAAGAATAAAAAGGAAAGAAAGAGAAAGGAGACAGAAGATGGAAGAATAGACAGAGGTAATACAGAAATGAGATGGAGAAGAAGTGTGATATATAATGGAATTACTCTTATTCACCGCCTTACACAGGATTTACATAACAGGTATTTAATATATATTTATTTATTGAGTGAACTGAGTGACTAACCAATTGAGTGTGTTAGATCACCCCATGTAAAATCAGGACAGGACGAATGTCATGCCATGTAAAGTTTATAGATCTTTTGTTTGAAAACTTCTGTGGTCATCAGATCTCTTTTTATTTCCTTTGCAAAATGTTTGGCACAATATCTCATATGGTAGACCATTCAAGATATTATGGAGTTAATATGGAAAGAAACATGGAGGAAACACCTTAGTATATTTTCTCCTTTGCTAATGGTGTATACGTATACATACTTCCCGACCTCGTTACCCATAAAAATATTGGACATATAGTCCTGTAACTCTCCCCATTACCAGTATTAATTAAGGTTCTGCCTCTTCCCACACAAAATAAAATCCAACTACTTATTAGCAGAGGCTACCTGATCAACTGACATTTGTCCCCTGCTTACCTCTTTTTTATTTTTGGACAAACTTCCTCTTGGAAGTTGTTTTCTTTTTAAAACACAAAATTGACAGTATAAACAAGAGTAAAACTTTCTCAAACCATAACTGCCTGTCTAAAAAATAGGTAATATTGACAAGCCTGACCCATTTTTACAAAAATGAAAGATCCTCAAAGCACTTACACCATAACTCCAAGCTCTGGGGTTCAACTGATTGGATAAGTGCTTTGATGGGCTGAGAACCAGACAAGGCTGCCGGTGGTGAAGAAAGACGCCAACATGCGAGGAGGCAACAGAGGATTGAAGCTTTCAAAGTTCAGCTTCTGACATTTGGTTGTTAGCTTCCATAGAGATTTTATTGGTCCATCAACACAGAAAATACCAACTCAATCAGAGCTGAAATATAGCTCCATCTCACCTTGACAGCCAGAACTCACCTCATGCCCACATAAACTGATATTGAAGAAATGGAAGTATTTCGTTCCTTTGGAGGTAAAGCTGGGGCCATTCATTAACGAGCCCACGCTGCTGAGGTGGCTGAAGTCATAGTGCAAACTCTGATTTTCTTTTTCATGGTGGAAAAAGCAGTCACTATAGCAAACTGAGTGGTCCTTTGATTCAAGATTAAGAAAAAAAAAAAAAAAAAAATATATATATATATATATATATATATATATATATAGCAGGAAACAAAGTATTAGCTGCTATGAAAAATGTGTTTCAAAAAAGTTCTAGATTTAAAAACTATTTCAGTAATTTTGTCTTGATTATACTTTATTTTACCATACTAATATAGAGAATTTCTAAACACTAACTAGATTTTCCTAGACGAAATTCAAAGGATTTAGAATTTTTTTAAAGTAAGAGTCAGGTTATTCTAAGGTTAGTTTCTCATAGAAAGGTATTTTAACAAATAGCCAAAAGTCCCTGTTATGCCACTTTAAATAGACAATAAAATCACTTTCTCCTTCACCCATAATATAGCGTTGACCCTTGCCCTTAAAATGTTTTAAGATACGCCTGCTGCTCTCCATGTACTCCTACAGCCAACCTACAGAGGGGGTTTACTTGCTCTACCTTAACAGAATACACAAGAAATCAATTTTAATACTTTTGGAAAGCGTTTTTATTTGGGTGCTTTTCTTAATATTTTATGTTCCCAGGAACTAGCACTTTCATGGCACATATTAAGTGCTCAATAAATATGAGAGGAGCAAAAACAAGAAGGGGAACAAAAAAGTCATTTATAAATATAACTAGCAACTTTGTAGCTCCTGGAGAAACATTAAAGGGAACTTTTGAGTTTCTCTATTAAAGTGTGCTTTCCCAGGGGCAACTGAAATACGGACTCACTTACCTGAGTGCTTCTACTCCCAGGCCCACATGGAATACAAGCCTCCTTGCCGTAGACCTGATGTATGGACAGGTAGGTGTCAGGTGGACACTCCTTGCACTGGTTGGTTTCTTTCTCAATGTAGTGGCCTGGGGGGCAGGGGACACACGATGAGCCCGACTGTTCAGAACCGAGGGCACAGGCACGGCATGAGGACGCCACCCCATCAACTGCATTAGCGGCAGTGATAGAATAAATCTTCACCATGTCATTGATGAACCGTCTATTCTAAAAAGAGAGCAGAAAGTAATGACTTCTGCCTTGGGACTTAGTTGTACAACCAGATTATTTCATGTTGATATTACCAAAATAACTAAGCAGCCTAATAGTTTATAATTGACAGTGGATTAATATTATTCCTTTTTGGTTCTTTATTCTTAAAAAATCTTAAATCTTAACACTAGAAGCTAATTTCCACAGTAACGGAGTTCCAGGAGTTTTGCCACAATCACCATGAGATATGTCAGAATTGGTACAACTCAGACATATTTATAGACTTTACATCTGGAAGAACAGATATGGTTTAACAGAGGAGCAACTTGATCTCCCATCATTGTTTATTCAGATATAAGCCTAAATGCAATGATACAATGGGCTGTTTGCAGTGTGGCAGGGTGGAAAAGCCTTGGACTGGTGACGAGACAGTTTTGGAGTTCTAGTCTTAGAGCTCCGGTCCTCACCTAAACACTAACTGTGTAATATCGATGAAATCACACCACTCCTTCGGGCATTCTTCTCCCTCTTTACACTTTTCCTAACCAGTGTACTCTGATTTCTACTGAAAGGATGCATAATAGAGAGTGAAAACCTGGGTCTTGCTATACTTTCCCTTCTTATGACACTGAGTCAATTAAAGTCTAGTTTTCATCAAGCAGTAGGCATCACTGTATCAGCACAGAGCAGCGTCACCCTGGACTATTTAATGCTTTTTATCTGGGGAAGAGACAAAAGGAAGGCAAGAAGAGGTAAGATTCCATAGCATGTTCACGCCCCACATGATGGTAAATCTCAACACTCGTAAAGAACAATTGGAGTCAAGAAAAACTCGGGGAATGGGCTCCCCAGTGAGAGCCTAAAGAGAAAAGAGAAAATGCTCTACATTCGCCACCAAAGCTTTCAACTAGCTTCTGAACAAGCGGTTTACCTTGTTTTCACCTTGGGAAGGTCACGTCTATGGAGATCCACAAAAATAACAGTCCTGCTACTATGAAACATACAATGGAATTTACTTAGGGGAGGATTAAAGTCTATTCTAGCAGGGAAAGTAAAAGAGAGTAAATAATTCTGCGTGTTAACTCAATCGTGTAAATGTGTACATATACAATATCCTGTTTATAAAAGGAGACACTACTGTAATGAAATAATAAACCAACACCAGTTAATGGCTCCTGGACAAATGTCAGATCATTCACACAAAGAGAGAAAAAGTCATCAGCCTTCTCAAAGTCTCAGAAGGCTTTACGTGTAAGTTTTTAAATATGGTAACTACAAAATCAGATTTTCTTTCTCTTAAGCTTTCAGCAACTATATTTGTTCAGAGCACAGAACAATTCAATGATCCATTGTTATTCCATTTCACACACCCTCGCTCTCAAAAAACAAACCAAAACAACACTAGTTTTAGATTCATCCACTCCATAAACAAATGATTGATCCCATATCAATAAAAAGCTAAGTCTTTTCCTCCAGGAGATTTGAGTGATTGCTTTGTAAGAATCTCCACTGTGGGCATCATCCTTATGTTAAAAAAGTACTTGGAACTTACATCTTGACCCTGATTAGTTCTCTGGAATGCCCATGTAAATGTAAATGTTGCATTCTTGAAGATGACGTGGGTGTAAGCTTGTTTTTCTTTGGTTCCACCCCATGATTCCACCACATTCGTACTTTTTCTATTAATATCCTAAAATATAGTAGAAGAAATATATACAAAAAAGCACAAACTCAGTATTAATATACATTACTAATCTGTGTTTGTATTTACCGTAAACCCTATAAGATTCATGAATATATATCTGCAGATCATGTAACCCTAGAACTCTCAAAACTTCCCTTCAAATCCACACAAGCACTCACTAGCTTAGTAATTACAATATATCAATCACATTGTCAACATAACCTGAAAGAGGTCTCAAATCATAGTATGTTTAAGGGAGTTTTGGGGGACAGGGGTGTGTGTGCGTGACTCTAGCTTAGGAAATAGACGGGGAAACATAATTCCTCCAACTTCTCACAGTACACTTCTAGGATCCTCATAGAATGGCAAGGATTTCCATTTGTATCTTTTTCCTTGAGAGATTCTGCTAGGCAGCTCTTGCACAGGAATTCCAAGTTCACCCTGAATTATACTTGCAACTTCCAGGCTTCCCCAAGTGCAGATTAACCAGAATGTTATTTTATGTTCATGAAACATTCTTTTGCTTATACTTGAATTCCAAAAGGATTAATTTATGTAAGATTTTATTTCTGATATCCTTAGCTAAATTCAATATTTAGGCTATTATACAAATGTCTGACATTCTAACCAATATGCTGTTATTAACACGGTTAATATGTCAGCCAAATAATGTAATGCACATCTAATTTACCTGAAATGAAAACCAACCCTGAATTTTCTAATTAGTCTTTCTTCCAGAAACCCTAAGAGACGACTAAGGAATTTGGATGGGCTTCTGTTAGTTACCTGGGATGTTGACAATATGGTGGCATGAGCTCAAGATATGTCTCTTTCTTTCTATGATATAAACATAGGAGTCAAACATATTATAAAGTAATCAAATATGCTATAAGGAGATGTGTCTTGAGTTCACGCCACAGATAGGAATAACAGAATGTGCCTGTCATACATTACAGAATCCCCCACATACCAAACAACCAAATCATCATACGTGCTTCCTCCTAAAAGGAGCTCATAATATACAGAGAGTGCTCTGTTAAACACCATCTTTCTGGATGTTTATTTCAATAATAAATGGAATTTATTGTATTACTGCAAATAATACCACCTGACATTTGTAAAACACTGCATGATTTTGCAAGTATTTTTACATGCCACCTAATTGATATCTCAAAAAAATCCTATGAGGAGACCAAATCACGCACAGACGAAAGAAAACTAACAGATTCTGCTATGAGATAAGAACTCTAAGATTGATTTACCAAAATAAATACCTGTGATCCCTACCCTCAGGAATGCTTGGTCAAGTGACGGAGACAAAAATATGAATACATTCACATAATTAAAATAGGGTTTTTCTCAAAGGGTTTTAGGAGCACACTGGAGAGAGTAGTTAACTTTACTTAAAGGAATAAGAGAAAGCTTCCCAGAAGAGGTCAAGTTTGAGCCGCCCTTGAAGTATGAATGGAGTTCACCAGACAAAAGACCAAAAGGAAGAATGTTATTTTAGCTTAGAGTGTAAAGGCACAAGAAATGAAAAAGTAGAGGGTGTTCCACTAACAGATTCAGGGTATCTAAAAATGGGTGAGTAGCAACAGGAGGTTTGGTGAAAGAGGCTGGGCAAAGAGTACAAAAAGCCATACAGGTGCCGTGCTAAGGAATTTTAAGTGTAATCATAGGCTATTGGGTCTCAAACTTCAGTGTGTATCAGAATCACCCTCAAGGCTTGCTAAAATACAGATTGCTGGGCCCCATCTCCAGAGTTTCTTTTTTTGTGTGTGTGAGGGAGACCAGCCCTGAGCTAACATCCAATGCTGATCCTCCTCTTTTTTTTTTTTTTTTTGCCAAGGAAGATTGGACCTTAGCTAACCTCTGTGCTCATCCTCCTCTACTTTATATGGGACACCGCCACAGCATGGCTTGACAAGCCGTGTGACAGTGCACGCCCGGGATCCGAACCTGCGAATTCCAGGCCGCCGAAGCGGAACGCAAGAACTTAACGGCTTGCGCCACTGGGCCGGCCCACAGGGTTTCTTATTAAGACTAGAATGGGGCTCAGACATTTGCATTTTTAACAAGTTCGCAGGTGATGTTGATGATGCGGGTCAAAGGACCACACTTTAAGAACCACTGCCATAGGCAATAAAAAGCCACAGAGGGTAAAGAGGTACATTTGTTGTGGATGCTTCTACTATCGTTTTTACGTTTATAAAGATAATTTTGACAGCAGCATGGATGACAGAATGCAGATAAGAACAGATAAGAAACTACGGTTGAGAGATAATAGGAGTCTGAATTTCAGCAACGGCACTGAGTATAAAGAGGAACTAAGAGATTAAAGAAATAAGGAGGCAGAGCTGGGAGAACTGAGGACTTATTGGTTACTTGTGGTGTAATATATGGATGTGTTGAAGATTATTAATGATCTTCTTTTACTACCACAAAGTCAATTTTTTATAACAAAATAGTCTGCCTTCATTTAAGCTATTAGTAATCACGAATAAATATTTAAATCTCCATATATCTTGTATATCATGGAGGAAAATGTTAATGGACTATTAACTAGCTACTAAAGGATCATTGGGAAAAAAGCAAAAACAAATCATGTCTATGAAGTCACTACTTAATTAGAATGCTAAAATCTTAGCCAACAACCTTCTAATACCCACATAAGGTCTCAGCAAATTTTGTATTGCTACTTTTCTCAAGCTAAAAGTTGAGATTTATAGGACAAATAAAAAAATGTGCAAAAAAAAAAATGGGCAAAATTATGACATGTACATAGTAAAGTCCTTTGTCGACATTTATTAAATTTAACAGGAAAGTTTTCTTTCTTCCCAATGCTCTACACCTCCATTATTTTTCTGCCCTCACTTATTAATTCATGTTTTCATATTAAGATATGAAAGATATGTTTTTCCCTCCTGATAGTTTGAATTGCTGAATGGTTATTGGGGGAGAATTTTCATTTTGCTGGTGGCGTATTTTTATGAAGGAATTTTCTACCAGATTAATATTCCCTGGCTTCTATTAGTTGCTCAGGCCCCCTCACTCAGTCCTCCCCATGAGGAATGAACACTTTTTTTGTAGGCTTCATTGCACAATTCTTAGTGACTTCTTTAGACATGTTTAAATGTTTTTGGAAGGCCCTAATAACAGGAAGAAAAACGGGCTTCTTATCCCAACTTGCATGAATAAATTCACACTTGAAGGAGAACGCTAAGCTTAGAAATCCACCTTTGAAAGCCATTCTTTCACTTACCACCATGAAGTACAGAACACAGTCGGCAGAACAGAGGGTCTCAAAGACAAATGTTATTCTTCCCAGTTCAGAACCCATGGCTCCAGTCATAGAGGTTGGTGGTCTGGTTGACAGATTAAAATTGCAATATTTATAGTCTATTCTAAATACAATCTGGAACAGATTTAAGTCACTTTTTCCACCACGCTGAAAGCCATGCTCTTCTGTTCTCCTAACCTATTGCTCCCCCAAACACAACTCTCTCCTTAATCTCTGCATGGCTGTACCCTTTGTTCTAACATAGAGTCTACACGACCATAGTGATACGCTTGAATTTCCTGGTGTAAACACTACCACCCATCCTAAAACAAGAGAAAGACTCATACTGGGAAATTTCAGCATGAGGGACTAAAGCAAAATGGGATTAAACAATTTGTAAAATATACTCTACGGATAAAAGTGAGAGAAAAATAAATACATAAACCAAAAGATATTCCCGCAAACAACTTGTACTAAGACCTCTTCATTAAGCATCCAAGCATCACGGTTATTGTAACATTTGGATAGAATGTTGTTAAAAAACTTTCAGCTTCATCTAAGTCCTATACAATTAACAGTTACAGTTTCTCAATCACTAATTCTATAGATATTCTTAAATACAACACAGTATCCAACAACAGCTTGTACTTTGCTAAGTACATCACAATAAGTGAAGTGCTACTTCACTTATTTCTATAGGGAAACAGGAATGAGGATTCTTACAGAAGGGAATCAGAATTGGATTTCCTTACTTAAATCCTGGGATATGCAAGTTTAAGATCAGGTAATCATTATCAGAACCTCCAGCCCCACTCTGGATATGGTCTCCAGCCACCTCCCAACCTGAAAATGATAAAAGTCATCTTTATTAGTAAAAATTCCATTAATGATTCCCAACAACCTTTTTAAATACAGTTAAAAAAAAGAATAAAGAAAGGACCATTACATTCAAAGTTAGAAATACTTCAAAAAGAATTCCCTATTTTTAAATTGCAATTGCATATTGCACGCAGAGATAGACTCCTAGATACCGACAATGACGTTCCATATGATTTCCCAGGAAGAATCAAGTAACACATATTTGCATAAAAGTTATTTAATGGGAAAACTAAGAGCAGTTTTCTCAATGAGGCATGATTATTTTAAGTAAAACAGATGGTCTTTATCCATTCTAATACACCGAGATGGAAAATCCTAGTCTTCAGGTAACCAATGGGAAATAGAAACTTCAAATTATTTAACGAAGATTTGGAATCCAGAGTTCTTTCTTATAGTTTGCTGCACTCTCTTCCCCAATTTAACTCCTGCTCTGCATTCATTCACGTATTTATTCACTCAACTGGCATCCACTCAGTGCCAAGAACCATGATACTCACTAGGGATAGAAAGACAAGACTGGGCCCACCCTCTTTAAATAAGGTAAAAAAAAAAAAGGACAATTGAGGAGTCAGTAGACTATGTGAGAGACTCACGCTAACAACTGCCAACAGTATGGGGTGACAGAGCTGCACAGAGAGGTAATGCGAAGTCTGTCCTCTGCACAGAAACAATCAACACACTGCAGGCTGAAATAAAACGAGGGAAGGAGCAGCATCCCCCACACACCATCATTTCTTTGTTTAGGAAATCGTATTTATATTTATTATGAAATTTTGAAAGCTACAGGCAAATTTAAAGATGAAAACTAAAATTACTTATCATCTCATCACCCAGAAAAAAACCACTGTTTTGAGGTGTTTCTTTTCACTATCTTTGACGTATACATGTTTTTATATCATTGAGATCTTGTTGATAAATTTTATATCACAGTTTTCTAAATTAATATTATTGCATAAGCATTTTCTATGTATAAATACTTCACCAACATGTTAATGACTGAATTCATAGTTTATCATGTAGATAGATATAATAAATTTCAATAATTTACTAAATCACTCACACTATAGGACTCAGCTCCTGTTGACCACACATCCATTTTAACCATTTGGATTGTTTTTACCTGTTAGCTAGCATAAATGACACTATAATGAACGTATTTTTGGTTAATATATTCTGTATTTTTCTACAAAAGAATCCCAGTAAAAAAATTATTGGGTCAAATAAACATATTTTAAACCAATAGTTTGCGCTTTTATTTTGATTTTGAAAGCAATGTGTGTCCATGAAGAATATTTATGAAATATAGTAAACCAAACCAAAAAAATGAAGCAATTCATGCTTCCTAGAAACCTCCCACTCCCAACTGATAGCCTCTTTTATTTTATTTATTTATTTATTTTTTTTTCCCCCAAAGCCCCAGTAGATAGTTGTGTGTCATAGCTGCACATCCTTCTAGTTGCTGTACGTGGGATGCGGCCTCAGCATGGCCAGAGAAGCGGTCCGTCCGTGTGCGCCCGGGATCTGAATCCGGGCCGCCAGTAACGGAGCACACACACTTAACCACTAAGCCACGGGGCTGGCCCACCAACTGATAGCCTCTTAACATTTTGGCATATTGCTTTTCAACCTGTTTCTAGTGCACACTTTTTTTAATATACCTTAGATTTTACTGTATAATCTACTTTATTTTCAGATTTCTTCATCTAGCATTGTCTTCAGATTTTTCTAATTATCATTATTTCAAAAACATTTCGCCATTAAAAATCATTTCTACATCTAATTTTAATGATTTAACAATTTTTGCATTTTTAATCATAATTTAATTTAATCACATCCCATTGTTGAATATTTAGTTTGTTTTTTCCTATTTTTTACTCTTACAAACAACACTAAAATTAACATACTTGCACATAATTTCTTTCTTTACATCACATCAATTCCTTGGTATAAATTCCCAGAAGTGGAATTATTGGGTTGGAGAATGGGGACATTCAAAATTCTTGAAACATTGGCAAACTGTTTTCCATATGGCTGCCATTTTTAATGCCTGCATAACATTTCCTCTGATCAGTATAGCATAACTTTCATAAACATTATTCTATTGTTGGATATTTAGACTATTTCAATTTTTGTTATTAAAGATAATGCTCAATGAACATCTTCATAAATAAACAGTAACTTTTTTAAACAGTAAAAATTTAAACTATAGCCTCTATGTAAAGGAGTAAGCATGTGGGTAAATCAAGTATTGGCATGAGAGTTAGATGAAGTGTAAGTTCCCTAAAACATCAAATAAAAGTTCCAGATAATCTTTACTAGTAAGTGAATACACACACACACACACACACACACGTGCGTGCGCACACACACACGTATTGATGCTTTCATAGAGTCATTCACTACCCTGGCCTTCCTAATCTTATTTTTCCAATAGGTCTTAACTTCTCAACTTAGAATTCAATCACAGGAACTTTTAGGAACATAAACTCTCATGGTCAAGTAAAAACTATTTTTTTTTCTTCTCCCTTAAGATAATTTCCTAGAAGTGAGATTATTGGTCAATAGAGAGGACTATTTCATAATGTTTAATATATATTAAGGCTTTGTCTTTCCCTCTTTCACACATCCATCTAACCAACATTATTCAAGAACCTACTATTTGTCGATCTCTGTGTTCATCTGTGCTCACTTCCTACATCCCAAATCTGTTTATTTTGGATAAGCACTGATTTAAAACACATGTGATTAAAAAGCATTTTTTTACAATAATCAAATATAATATGGAGAAAAATCAACTAACAAAAACTGCTAAAGAGCCAATAAAAGTAAAGGATGCATTTGGTGTAAAACCCTAGTATTTATAACACCTATTCCTAGCATCAATTTTAGAAATACATAGATATTGTCATTCATTCAACCAACAAATATTGCAGAACAACTAAGTGCTAGGCTGTCTAAGCACTTAAAATGTTAGGACAAATAAAATTCAGCAACTATCCTATAGAGCCCTGCCACATTTTCAAGTTTTCAGTAAGTCGGTTCATATATACTTTGTAAACACAGTCATAGATTTCACAGGCGGGGGAGTCAGAGATTATTTAACCTCTCACCACAGCTCAGTGCTGAGCCAGACGAAACTAATCCAGCAGAAATGCTATCATGCTACTCTTCAAAATGGCAAACAACACAGATTTCATTACCTCTCTTGGTATCCATTCCGATATATATATCCATAAACGGTGACCCTTAATATCTACTTTAAAACTGATTCCAAAAAAATGAAAAATAGTTTATATTATATCTTATAGAAAAGTCATCTGGCTGTGACACCACATTTACTATTTTGATGCGAGGGCTGGTAAGTAGCCTAATGGTAAGACTGAAGTTTTTCATACCTATATTTAGTATGTTTTTAGAGAGCTGAGTCTGAGAGTCTTGCTGCCAAAATACGTCTAGTAGGCTGACTCTGAACTCACCATTCATGCCGTCACACTTGGAATTTCCGACATTGAAGCAGGAAGTTTTCATGTTGCCAGGAAGGACATTCCACCATTTATATTCAAACCCAAGTGCAGGCTCGGTTCCTGCTGGACACGGTCTACATTCTACAGGAGACAAGTGGGCGAACAATTACATTTAAACTGCATCTGGACAACTTCCTCTTCCTCTCCTCCAAGCACTACTAAACTTTAATTAGCAGAGAGGGAAGTAGGAAGGAGCGATACTGGACCACAAATTCCCTTAAGAATTAATAATTTTTTCAAAAGCAATCTGAGAAGAAAAATAATTCTAGATACAGTATACACACATACTTGACTAACATTAAAAAGGAAAAGGATAGAGTGACGTCAGCATCATGGCGGAGTGAGCTTTCCCGTGAATTCTTCCCCCACAAGATACAACAAAAGCAACAGCCACAGACCAACAACGGAATCCCAGACAGTGAAAACCTAGAGCGGAGGGATCCACACTGCC